CTAGATCCTAGTATGCTTGATGGAGTGTGGGGGAGTGGTTCTGTTTAGCGACTTCTACACAGTCCCTTTTTATAGCCCTTACATGTGCGTACTCCCTCACAAGCTGTTAAGCAGCAGAGAATAGTCTTCAAAGCGGCGTTCGTGGGTTTGTTGTTTTCTCAACGGTGGTTTTGTTTGGGTCAGGTCCGAAGGTTTTCTGATGTCTTGGAGATGAACTACCAGCTACCAGATGAAAACCCAGGTACGTATCCTCCCAATTCTTTCATAATGGGCTATATTATGGAATTCGATGCTGGTTTGCAGGGAGTGTAGATCTTCAGGCCAGAGATGCTTCGTTATATCCACTACGCATCTAGCTAAATAATAGATAATACTGCGCCAGCCCTCAGCGGATGAACATAATTAGTGTCAGTTACCCAGACCCCTAAAGGATCCAAAACATGGACCCCCTCCCAATATGAACCCACTACTACATGGGGAAACCCTAAACCCTAAACCCTGAAGGGGATTATTAGGGGGGGTTAATTTTTTGGAGCCTTTCGGGGTTCTGGGTAACAAACGTTTAGGATGTAGGCGTCAGGGTCCAGGGCATGAAGGACCCCGTGGTTTAGGGCTTAGGATTAAGGATTCGGATTTAGTGTTTAGGGTGTAGGGTTTCGGGTTTAGGGTAGGGTTCAGGATTTAGGGTTAGGGTTTAGGGCACTTAGACTATCAGTTCTTGAGCGGCCTGGACCAGTTTAGAGGCAACTGAAACCTCCTCAGCGACTGTTGGTTCTCATCAAGTATGTATCTCATTAACAGTTGGATTTATACATTATATAGAGCCCTTAATATGACCCCAGGAGAGGCGACCAAGGTTTAGGGTTTAGGGTTTAGGGAATGACTCCTCATATAGGAGTGTTGGAGAGTGCCAGGTTTCTACGTTCTTCACCAGCCCCTGTAAGCATGTGTGTAAGATAGCAAAGGTCAATCACTTTCAGAGAACCGGCAGTGTGAGCTGAAGGCGTTGCATGGAAAGAAACCCTGAGGGCATTTGCCTGAAAACTTAAGCAGGGAAAAAGAAGGCTCAGGGTTTCGGGTAACATGGTCGACACCAAACATCCTAGCTGACCCGCACTACCTATCCCTTGAAAATTATGGTACCCCAGTAATATAAGGTACTGCAGGATTTTAAGTGTCAACTTCACTTATACTTAATCTCCTGTCTTTCCTATTCCAGATATCCTTTGAGCTCCTTGGGACGTAGCTGGGGCCTTAGACCCTGAACCCTTTGGGGTTCCCTTATACTTTTGAAAGGTACCTAAGGGTTAACCCTTAGTGGGAGTACTGAGTTCACCAGATGCAAGAGGCTGGACGAATCCTGAAAAAGCCTAGGCCAATACACCCTAAAACCTAAACTAGTTCAAGGACCGGGGGGGGTTTAGCAAACAGGTTAATTACCCTAAAACCTAAACTAGTTCAAGGACCAGGGGGGGGCTTAGCAAACAGGTTAATTCTGGGGATAGCACCGGCTACAGCATGGCTTATGGGGGGGCATAGGCATGTTTACTACATCCCATTGACCCTAAACCAGTAGACCTACTGTAGCCCATTATAAGTGGGCTCCCACGTTGCTACCCTAAACCCCAAACCCTAAATTCTAAATCCTAAACCGCGCGCATTCCTCCGCAAGAAGGCCGAAGTATAATTTGCAGCTGCTGTGTCATCGCCTATGCAGGGATAGACTGGGAATTCCGTGAAAATCATGTGTAATTCCTGTTATCTATAACCCTAAACCCTAAGTCCCCTTAACTGCAATTTCTACAAGGCTCCCAGGGAACTCCCCTAAACCCTAAACCCTAAAACCTTAACCCTAAACCCTAAACAAACCCTACACAACTTAGTGTCAGAATATAAGCCCCAAGTTGACCCTAATTCAGGGATTACAATAGTACCCCCCCCCCAAAGGTAGTGGCTTTCAACCCTAAAAAGGTTCAGTAAGGGGTTTAGGGGTTTAGGGATAGTACCCCCCCCCAGAGGTATCCACCCCCCAGATTTAGAACCCTGTTAGGCCTCATTAAGCCCTATATAGTCCTTATTAGCTCCGTAAACCCTGGGGGGGGTCCCTTATTTCGTCCTTTGCATAGGAACCTCCAGTTTACTCATAGGCATGAGAAATTCTCCAGAGACAGAGCTTACAGGGTTCGTGGGACGTAGAAACTCGCTATACTATGGCTACAGCCCACCTAAGATTGAAGATGTGTAGTGGGCCCCACGAAGGGTAGCTATGAACTTCAGCTCTTGGGTCCCTAGACGTCAAAAACCATAATCCAAACCTAGTGGAATGACTTTGCTAACGCTTCCGCAGCCCAGTCCTCAAGATCCAAGAGCGGAGCTCCCAAGGGAAATCGGATTCTGCAGCCCTAGACCTACCCAACCTTCTGCCTGCCAACTGGTAACTAGTATCAGCTCAGCGTCGCAGAGGACATAAAGCCAAATCCCTGAGCCCTACCCGCTAAACCCGAAATCCAAAACCACAGATCCTAAACCCTACCGCCCAAAAACCCTAGGTCCTAACAGGAAACTTAAGAGATCAGTCCCTCACCTAGCGTTGTCCCAAAGCTTGCCTCATAGGTTAGGACCAATTACAGAAGGAGAGCTTCCTATGTGCGGATTTTAGATTTTGTAGGGAACAGAGGAAAGGACACCTGCAGTAGCAAACCCTAAGCCCCTGCACCCGTAAACCCTCAAGCTTCATACCACACGATGTCCAACAAGATGCTAAGCCCCTAAACCCTAAACCTTCATATCCCGCAACAATATCCAACCATATATACTTGTTCAATCTTTCTTCACCTTTCCTTCACTGTCAGAATCTACGGCCCTAAGCCCTAAGTAGTTGCTGACATTGCTTGTAGTCCTTCAGTCCGAGGCTCTATAGGCGCTATATCTATATGAAAATTCATGAATATATATATATACACACATACATACATATACATATATGTACATACATACATACATACATACATACATACATCTGTTTATGGACATATATCCGCATAAGGCCAAAGATGCCTATGTCAAAGTGCTGTCATGATTCCTTTTGTAGCTTTTCCTTCCCTATACCGGCAGCACACGATCATGATGTCGCCTCGGCTGGAATTGATTGCTTCAGTTGGCTTGTCAGCTGATGTGTCATGTTTGTAGACTCATGGGGTAGGATGCGTTGCAGGAGTTGCTGCTCTCAGTGGTACGACAAAGACATCAGAGCTGATAAGGTCTAGTTCCTTGGGCTGCTCTCATCTGCAGTTGATTAGGACCGAGTGCAGATAGGGATAGCCAATTCTCAGCATTCGTGTCTGGGCATGTTCTGCAAACAAGAGCTGCATGACGATCACAAACTGACAACACCTCATGCTCCAACAACCTGCTGTATATTGCCTGATCAGCTTCATCCGACCAAAAGACACCTCAATCACCACGGAGCCACCGGAGCATTAGCCCGATCATTGGTGAAGCCCTTAGCCGATTAGAGATGACGTCGTCTTCATCGGACAGCTCAGACGACGAGGACGAGGACAGCGCTTGGGCAATGTGAGGGCCTGAAGACCTATCATTATTCTGATCCCATTCCTGCCTTCTGCAATGCTAGCATAGGGTACCTCAAATGAGCCTGTAAATGATGTTGATATTCGTGAATTTATTAGTGAGGTTCCTGTAGTACGCAGCCTAATGCCTTCCCTCGAGAGTAATGGGAGTTTTTGTGAGGGAATGTAGGGTTCTTGAGGAAGATCTTGAGGCATATAGAAAGTTCTGTGTCCTATTTAGGAAGCCCAGAAGTCCTCGATCGAAATCCTGGCGTGAGATGGGTTCGATATATATATATATATATATACACACACACCCTAAACCCCTTAAACCCTAAACCCTAAACCATACATGTATCAAACACTTGTACCTCCAGGATAGGGCAGTTCATGTACATAAGGTCATACATCCATGCCATAGCGAATGTTGACTGCCAGGGAAGGGGTGTATCACAGTGACTCACAGAGGGGAGCAAAATCAAGGGTTCAGCATTATTGCGGTGGACGGGCAGCGTCCCTTCCCAAGCCCACAACAATCGCAAACTGAGAACGCCTTAAAGGCTACACCCGTAACCCTAAACTTGAGTCACTGGCACCCATTGCGAAACTGAGACATGCAAGGTGACTCGGCGCCATGTCTGCAATGATTGCAGGGATCATTATTTGTGGTTTAGGGTACTGGTTTAGGGCTTTATCCTCAGGATCCAAGAACCCAAACATTAAGCCGTTGGCCACCGAAAACCACTCAGAAGATAATTTGGGACCTGAAGCCCCTAAACCCCAATGGGTACTTGAACCATTAGGGTTGCTGGTTACAACCCTTACGAAATGGAATGAGCCATGTTGCACGTGCCAGAACGGCTCTTACGATGGATATTAAAAATCGTAAGCCCGAAACCCTAAACCCTCTCTAAGATCCCCAAACCTTGGGAATGATGGTGCTATGGTATCTTGAGGTCATGCAGGATTTTTGGACAATAGCAGTAGTCTCTTTGATTCCCAGGATGGATTTTTATATCATGGGTAGTTCCCACATTAGCTTCAGTACTGAATATCAAGTCATCCCTGCAGCTTTAGTAGGGTTTCGGGGTTGGGTTTAAGCTAGAACATTAGAAATCCTAGCGTCGTGTAGTGTATATTCCCTTATGAGAAAGTATATTGGGCTCTCCATACATTTCCCCCTGCGTGCAATATTTCCTTATAGCCGCGGAACACGAGCATCTTAGTGTTGCCTATTCGAGACTACGTCGAGGCTGCAGCCTCACCCCTAAGGGTTCAAGGACCCAGAATAATGTGGCTTCAGGGCCCAAATACTGTAGTCTGAATGGTATTTGGGACCTGACGCCCTAATATTTGGGTAATTGGACCCCTAGGGTACTCCGTAGATAACTCCTTAGGAGGTCAACTTTACAGAGCACCATTCCCCACCAGGAGAAGAAGCCAACAGGAAAGGGCGAGGAGGACAGGGTTAGAGTTCAGTATGATGGGCTGGGTTTAAGGTTTAGGGTTGGGGGTGTAGGTTTTAGGGCGTAGGGTTTAGGGTTTAGGGTGTAGGTTTTAGGGCGTAGGGTTTAGGGCTTAGGGTGTAGGTTTTAGGGCGTAGGGTTTAGGGCTTAGGGGGGCTGTGGAGAGGGTTTAGGTTTTCTGCTGCAAGGTCTGGGCTCCCATCCGCAGATGTCGCTGCATGAGAAGTGGCTCTTACTAAATCACATGTCTTGAAGTTGTAGTTCTTGGAAGGACTATGACTATTTCAACCTTTTCGGGCTTAGGGTGGCTTTTGTCTGGTAGTTTGATTATAAACGGCCCCTACATCAGCATCTGAGGAGGAAAAATGGGACGCCTCTCCTTCGACCGTTGTCTCACTCGTCAAGATTTCGCTTGAGTTGTGTTTGAAATGGAATATTAAAGTCCCCGACACCGGCGGATCTCACATATCCTCCTTGTGTGTACAGCAGTATGGCAATTTGATAGGCAGAGCATTGTCTTACGTGGTTCAACCACCACAAAAAGACCGCTCACGTGGCCTGCCCTAGCTGGGTTGTACAGCATTGTTTCCTGTGTCAGAGCAGGCAACAGTTATGTTGATACTGAAAAATCCTGCATGACCTTACTATACTACAGCACAACAATTCCCAAGGTTTAGGGTTCAGGGCTTACGGTGCTATGGTACCGTAATTCCCAAGGTATGAGGTACTTAGGGTCAGTCAACATTTTAAGCTTCCACCCTATAACCCTAAAACCTATGTAGCCCATATGGTAGTCTCCCTAAACAGGGGGACCCTAATATAGACCCCAAAATACTATAGTCCTTACTATGGGACCCCAAAAATGGTACCCCTAATTCTGGGAAACCCCCATATATAGTTCGTCCCCAAGCAGATGGCTACACGCCATCCCATGCCTCCAGCCCTATGGGGCAGTTCAGGGTAACTGTAGCACAGCTACATATGAGCTGTTGTCTCAACTCCTTATAGGGGGGGTTATATAAGGAAGCATTATAGAGGTTATTTCGGGGGGATAGGAGTGTCGCCAAAAGCTCATATAAGTCTAGTTCTAACCCAATTACTTGCATATGAGGAGACTCCAGGCTTTAGAGTTGGGCCGTAATACAACTACCAAGTTGCCCATCAGCTCCGAATGCTCCACCCTCCGCCGTAGAAATTAAAAAGGTTCATTGGGGAAATAATCGAAGATTCCTGTAGGTCTTTAAGGAAATATGCTGCATAATGGTCACTTTTGGAACAGGACTCAACTCCCACATCCCAGACCTTCAATCGGAAAACCTCTAAGCAGCCGGTGTTTCGAGTACTTGTGCAAAATAGGATCCGGAATAGAGCGCCTAGCCTACCTTTGAGGCCTAAACGCTAATCCCTAAAACATGAACCACCGCAGGACGGCTCTGGTTCAGACTCCGATTCTTCCTCCTCTGATTCGAGTTGCTTGAAGTTTACATGGGGGTTTAGGGGGGTTTAGGGTTGTCAACTTACGTGCCGTCTTGCAAGAAAAATCAATCCCTTCATTTCGGAGCTGGCGCCCGAAGCTGCAACATGTATGTTTGAAGTTGGGTCCTGTAAGCCCTGAGCCCCAGTCCCCACAGCCCGAGGCCCAATGCTTGGTTTAGCTCCTGAGGCTCAGGGCTTTCGGGCAGTGGTGGGGAACTGGAGGAAATCATGCGGTGGCTATCTGGCAATTTTCTCTTGCACGTCCCTTTAACTCGATTCCTAGGAAAGTATTGATCCGTACATAAGTTTCCCTGCCTGTAGAAGCAACATGCATTTCCCCACAATGCCGTGCACCCCCGGCCCCAGTCGTCCTGTGACAAAGCCGAAAGCTGAATTTGGTGTGTGTTGCAAACAGTTCCCTTGCAGCCTTTGGAATCGAGTGACATTACCTAGGCATAATTCCGGGGATATTTTGAGAGGCATGAATTATACGGGTTCCTCCCCGAAACAGCTGCAAATCGGCTATTCCAACATTACGGATGCCAGAAACAGGGGGTTCCCTGTTATGCCCTAGAGTCCTAGAAGACTATATAATTCCTGACTGAAGGGTCTCCAAGACAGAGACCACTCTGGTCATGCCAAGCTCTGGCACACACCAGATTTATAGTCCAATTTTGAAAAGTTTGGAACCTATAAGAAGTAGTCACATGATAGCTATGTCGTAAAAAAATGGTGGGAGGGGGGGGGAAACGTTCTTATTGTTATATCCAAATACCATCTCCGTTTTTGCTGGAGCTCTTGCACGCTAGAATACAATTGTTGTGTAGAGATTATCGGGATCCCTATTATTCTTGACTGAGGAAGTTGGATTCAAAGTCAGCTTGACCCGCACGGACCCAAGGTTCGGACAAGAAGAAAAAGAAGAAAGACAAGAAGAAAGATAAGAAGCGACCCGGCCGTGCTTGAGCAATGAGTCGAACTCTTAAGAGCTGAACCCTAGGGTTTATGGGGCTTAGGGGTTCAGGGCTCTTGGGTTTGAATGTCTGGACAGCTACACAAGTAGCAAGAGCAGAACAAATCCAATCCTCAAAAACAGATCTGCGCCCCAAACAGCCAACGTGGTGCTTAGTAAAGAACGAAGGAACTCTAAGGAATGCATTTTCTTAGTATGGCTAGCGTCTAACCTTAAGAGTCCCTGCCCATTCCCCCATTCCCTGGAGCTATGGGCTTCCGCGTGGTTGTGGTTTAGGGGTTTGGGGGTTTGCCGTCTGGCGTTCTCGAAAGCTTTACAGGTGGCCTGTGTTACCCTGGGAGCTCCAAGTGAGTAAACAAGGACAACCTTGGGCCCTTGTCATCTCCTCAGGATTTTTTTGATTTTTTTGACGTAGAACCCAAAAACATTTCTTAGAAGCTCAATTTAAAAAGAATAGAAATGCATTCCAATAGAAATGCATTCCTGCGTCATTGTGGCTCTTGGACCTCTATGAATTAAAGAATGGATAGGACTGTACTGAATATCTCCACTATCAAGATTTGTTACCAAAAAAATCTTTAAATCTAGTCCTTTTTCCCCATACGAAAAGCCACCTGATTGTAGCTAGTCTTCGGAATTTAGTTATCAATTCTACCCAAAATATTTTCTTTAAATGTGATCCCTTGTATTGTTCTAGTGCTCGGATTAGGCCTAAGGGGACTACAGTAATGTCTACTGACAGTATCTACTTTTCGCTGTTTGGAGCCCTCGGATGAATGATCTCCCAACCTGTATATGCCAATGCCCATAAGCGTGTTAAGGTAAGGTTGTTGTTACATGTGTTTTGGGTTGCATTGGGTTCCTGCGGAATATTGGTGTGCGTGTATGTGGGTGTTCATTTGAATAAAACCCCTGGGTCATGTCAGCGTTAAACCCTGAATCCTAAACACTAAACCCTCAGCCCTATGTACTGTTACCTGGGAACTTCGCATTTTGTAGACTGGCGGTTGTTGCCGTGGTCTTCTGGAAAGGGCAATAAAGCAGTGTGGTTTGCTACGGCCAGACATCTTGCCGCTGAAGCTCCACATGCTTCCATTGAAGTAAACAGACGCCGAAACTCAATGCACCAGCCAAGCCAGGAAGAAAAAGGACAAGAAAGGAAAAAAAGATAAGAAGGACAAAAAGAAGAAGGCTGAGAAGAAGGGCAAGAAGAAGAAGGCAGGTCGTGGCCTTGTTTATGTGCGACACTAATGCAGGAATAAACGCAGGCTTTAAGTTTGGGTGTGTTCAAAGCGGATGCCCTTGTTCGCAAGACTGAAGTCACGGCTCCTAAACCCTAAACCCTAAACCCTAACCCATTGGGGTTTTTGGATTTAGGGTTTATCCATTTTGATTGACAGAGCCGCCCAAGAGCAATAGCCTGAAATTGCAAACCCGGAATTTTGATCCCTGGACCTTGACATAGCGTTGATGGATGAAATCCTGCACTACCTTAAGTCCCAAAAGTCCTAGGAATTACAGTAGTTTAGGGGCTTTAAGTGGTGCAAGATTTCCTCCATCAACAGTACGAACCCTAAACCCTGAGCTCAAAACCCTACACCTTGAACTGAGTTCTATAGACCCTGGCAGGATAAAAAGAAGAAAAAGAAGAAGAAGAATGACGGGCTCAGCGAAGCCATGCGAGGGGCCGTTTCGAACCAGTTCGGCAAATACGGTGACTTGCTGCGAAATAAGTTCCATCCCTCTCTCCCCCCCAAGAGCCCGCACCCCCAAGAAACTAGCAATGAACTCTCCAGTTCTCAGGAACAGAGTATGATGATTTCATTCTAGTACAAGAGGAATTCATTGTTTAGGCGGTGGGGGGGGGGGGTTCATTTGTTTAAGAAGGGATTAGGCACTTTCTGCTTTGTGGCCCCCAAGATTTTTCTCGATATTTGGTACGTGTATATTTGATGTATGGACTGTGCCTGAGGGCTCTTTTGTTTGACGCCTAAAGTGTGCCCTTGCGCGGCGAATGGGATCCTGATTTGGTCTGCTTTGGTGAGGCTGATTAAGTTCCTTAACCTAAACCCTAAATAGTAGTTTCCATTCTCTTTTCCATTATCCCCATATAACCCCAATATACTATAGTAGTTTCCATTTTCTTTTCCATTATCCCAAACCCTATTATAAACCCTAAACCCTAAACTAGATTTTCCCCTTGCACTTAGTGCAGACGTAAAAGGGTCCGAGGGGCTTAAAAAAAACCCTAGACTAGTGCGCAGGGTCTCGGGCCTGGAGTGTTTTCGTCAGGTCGTGTTTGGGGCTCGGATCCCACGGGCTCCAAATAGCCCAAAGTAGGTGTTATCTATGGACTTTAGGTATGGAATAGATTTGTAAACTTAGAAGCCCAGAGGGAAGTATCAAATCATATCTGATACGCAGGAGCAGCAATTTTTGACAAACGCCGTTCACAATGGCGAATCAAACGGAAGAGAAAATGGACAATGAAATGGAAACTGGATCTCTATAAGGGTTTTTGGGGATAGTTACCATGATCTGCCTCAAGAGATTTCCGAAATCAGATGGATCCAGCCCATCTCGCTGCGTAAGAAAACCCTCCTCCCAGGCTGGATGCGAGGACCTGAAAGAGACCCTAAACCCTAAACCATTAAACCCTAAACCCGTAGCCCTTAAACCCTAACCCTTGAAGCCTTAAACCCTTAAACCCTAAACCCCTAAACCCTAAACCTTGTGCTCTGAGTCCATAGAACCATACCTTGCTTGGGATTAATTATCAAGGAATCAGCGAATATCCGGCCTATATAATCCTTCTAGAATAGATTCCATTGGGCCCTACTAACCCTATACCCTAAACCCTACACTATTCCCTTATTATTCCCTTCTAAACCTCAGTAAAATACCTTGTCGTGCGTATATGGTACTCTAGTCTAAACTCCTTAAAGGGGGTTATCTCGGGATTATGTATGGGACTACTATAGGGGTTATTAAGGGGGATAATTACTAGGAGTTTAGACTATGGCTCATATGGTATATTCTCAGAGGTTCACATATACCTACTTGGTAGCTATACGGGAACATCTGAGTATATAGACCCCTTGGGCTGCAGGTTGGTTTAGATGAAACCTATAAGACGACCACGCCTTTGTGAAGGGCAGCCGCTGCAGGTTTCTGCAGTTTTGTTCTGTTGTAGTCTCAGCTCTGTTGGTGTATAGCACGGCAGCATATGCTTCTGCTGATCCCGCTGCAGTACCGGCCATTTCGGTTCACGGGTTTTGATCCTTCCTCTCGCCCACAATCGGTCTTCGTAGGATCCTGCCCTTGAGCATTGGGTTAGTTTTTGTGGGCTGTGGTTGGCTTTGTGAATTGCAGAAAGGGTGCGCAAGGGTGCTAAAAGATCCTAAGCCAGGGGGTATTGAGGTTCAGGGTCACTGTGGCGGGTATACAGTGACCAACGGCACAGTACTTTTTAAGCTGTGGAACGGAGCCTTGCTGAGGAATCCCTGCACCTCCTAAACCTTTAGACGCACCACCCCCAACCCTAATTCCTGCACCCCAAACCCCACACCCTGCAATCCCGATTACCTACAGCTACAGTTTTATGGGTCATACTTATGACTAGTAAAGTGTAGGTAATTGGCGTTATAGGTACCCTCGCCCTTAAGTAGATAGAACATGGCTTCGGGTACATTATGAGAAGATCAACATATACCCCATATCCTATCTACTTAAGGGGGACTATAGCCATCCAGGTATCATCAAGCAGGAAGATTACTTCTCCAAGAAGCCTGAATTCCTTCTCTGGGCACAGGAGACCCTGCACAGAGGTAGGTCGTATAGGATTCCAGGATACCAGGTTGCTGTCAAGGAACCTACTCTAAGTTACTATCTGCATTGGGGAAACCATATTAAGTACTATATATATATATGTAGATATATATATATATGTATACCCATTATGGTGCCTTAGTTTAAGTTCTTTAACAGCAACCCAGGTTAAGGTAGGGTTGTGGGTTTAAGGAGACGCTGTAACATGCGAATCTTTTCGAGCTTTGGATTTCAGAGCGGGAGGGCTAGTTTCAGGGACGCTGGAGTTAGGTAACATATTATAACCTCCGAACAACCCGACTATAGCCCCATTGTAATCCATTATATGGGTTAGCTATGCGAGTGGAAAAGGGCACGGTTGCTGTTGGGAGCCCTAAACCCTAAACCGATGATGTTGCGAGGGCGGCTGCTACGTCCAGTGAACCTTCGTTCATGGGTTCCCCTACTAAGCCTGCAAGGTTCCTCTTTAATCAGCCTTAGCTAGCCTCATTTCTAGCTAAGTGGGGTACCTAGGGGGGGTAGTACAGAGAGGGCATTAGGGGCACCCATGGTTCATGTAGCCTGCCCCAAAAAACAATGGAACTTTCCAAGGAGTGAGCTGAAGTGGGGGGGGGGGTCTCATGGTTCTAAGGGGACGCGCTTTAAGTTTTTGAGTTTAGGGTCTAAGGTTTAAGGTTCACAGTTTAGGGCTCAGGGTTTAGTGCTTAAGGTTTGCATTTGCGGCTTTGGGTTAATGTCATCAGAGACCTCGTTCATCATCGAAGCGTCAAATCAAATGGAATTTGAAACGGAAACTGGGTATATAGGATTCAAGGGCTGTTGATGTAGAAGCCTGATCAATGCAAGTATTGAGATATACCAATCATTCTATAGATATATATACATATGTATATATATATATATGTAATCATACCTCCAAGTACCCCATAGGCTTCATCTAATTATTTAGGACCCCTACGTTTCAATTTCTACAGACCCCCACACGACCCCAGATTCCACTTGATGTTCCATTTACGTTTCCATGTCCTTCGCCAGTATTTTCTTTATTCAGGCCCCTGATCTGTTATTCCAAGCGCCTCTAAGTTGGCGGAGTGCACCACCAAGAACAAGCTGCATAAGCTCAGGCGTAGACTCAAGGGCCCAAGTAATCAACAACTGCTCCAGGGTAACTGAAATGCAGGACTCTGCCTGAAAACATCCCACAAGGCGTTTAGGTTCATTGGGGTATCCTGCCACATTGCCCGACAGAGGAGGGCGAGAAACTTCTAGAAGAATTGCTAAGGCCTACGTGAGCTGTAGTCTAAACTCCCAAGAGGGGGTTTATATAGGCGGTTATGTAGGGGAGTAAGTAGTAACGGAGTTATTGAGGGGGATGCTAGGAGTTTAGATTAATGATTAGGACAGGGGGGCATATTTGGGGTAGCCATACAGGAATTATCTTGGATTACTTTTGCTGGCTATTCGGCTTCTACCCTAAGCTCTAAATCCTAAACCTTAAGGCCTGAACCCAAAATTCTAAAAGCCTATAAGGCCTAAGCCCGAAACCTTAAGCCGCAAACCCTAAATCCTAAGCCTTACACCCTAAACCCTAAGCCCCTTTTGCAGGAAGTACGAAAGGTTAACACTGACATCCTTGGACAGCCCGGAGCCAAGCTTTGGTGTTACCAGAGAAGATGGTGGAAGTGGTGGTTGAGGGTTTAGGGTTTTAGGGTTTAGGGGGTATGGGGTTTAGGGTTTTGGGGGTAGGGTGTGGGGGTTTAGGGGGTTTAGGACTTACCTTGGGTACTGCCCCCACTCAGTAACAGTCAATATTAGGGGTCCTATTAAGGGCTATATATAACCACAGTATACTTATTCTCCAACTGTTGGGGCAGTACTGAAGGCTTACCTTAAGGCTCCCAGGACTACAATGGGCTTTCTGGAGAGGGTTCGGACTTTGGGGGCTAAGGTTTGGGATCTCACCAGGGGGTCCAAGAGCCTTAAAGTTTAGGGTTTAGGATCCAGGGCCTAGGGTTCTACCAGGGCGTCCCTTTCTGTAGGGTTTTAGGGCCCAGGATTTAGGGTTAGATGTTAGGGTTTTAGGGCTTAGGGTCTAGGGGGTAGGGTTTAGGGTCCAGGGTTGGCTTGCGGTTTAGGATCAGGAGTCTATCAACATAGGAAGGCTTCCTTAGGGATTCTAGAGGGGTATTTTAAACTTCTTGCGAGGTTGGGGGCAATGGTTTGGGGTGTAGGCTTGCGGATTACGTGTTGGAAGTTGCTCTTAATGGCAGCCGAGGGGGATGCTGCGGATAATGGGGGCTCCTTCTTTGGGTGGTATAAGATTTCCACCATCCACTGCAGGAGATCCCAGTCAAAATAGTCGTAGGGTCGTAGCATTGGGGGGTTGGGGTCATAAAAGCTCTCTTCTTATTTTCACCGGCCTGGACAGGCAGTTTGCTGGTACCCTTGTAGGATGCAGAGGTATGACAGACCCAGCAAACAAAGGGCCCACACCAAGTCTACGTGAGTTATTACAGTGAACTTAGTTTCCCCAAATCCTGAAACCTACCCCCCAGACCCTGAACCCTAAGCCCGAGACCCTGAACCCTAAACCCTAGACCCTGAACTTGAAACCCTGAACTCTAAATCCTGAACCCTAAACCCTAAACGGCATCGCAGATCAAGAAGCTCGAAGCCTACAACTCGGGTTTCATGAAGTAGTAAGTTGGGTCTTGATTTTTGGACAGCTTATACGGGTTTCCTTTGGAATGTTGGTGAGTGTGTATGTTTGGTGTCCGCTTTTGGGGGGGGGACCTCACATTAAAATCTGCCATATAGAGGCTCATAATAGGCCCCAAACTCTGAACCATAAAACTAAACCCCAAGCCGTCAACCCATAACCACAGGACGCTCCTTGCTTTTCTAATTCCCGTATTCTTAGGCCAGGGCGTTGCTGGAGTTAAGGGTGTTGGAATGTGAAATATGGAGCCTCTTGTCTTGAGGACTCGGAGGCTTAAGGGTTTAGTGGGTTTAGGGTTTAGGGTCTAGGATTCTAGACGTCCTGCCTTTTCGGGTAATTGTCTGACAAAAGCACGGTGCACAACCCCCGAAAAAGGGATAGGACAACCCAGGTCAAGGTAGAACATCCTAAGCCCTAAATCCTAACCCTTAACTGCGCTAGATCTTGGGGCATAGAGCCAATGGCTAGCGGATGGCAAACGAGCTTTCACTGGCTTGCTGCTGGGGCGTCTAGGTCACTTCTCCATTCCAAGGAAGCCCTACTTGATACTATAGATCCATTTTATGGTATCTTACTTATAGTTCCTTAACAGAAACCCCGTAGCAGGAGCCTTACTGTACCGGCTGAATCGAGTAGTCCCACCATGTCTCACGGCGGGAAAGGCCTTGGTTCACTTTGTTTGCAGGCATAGTTTGGTCTGGGAAGCTTTGTACCCCGGACTGAAACCCTACGGCTTAGAGAGCTCGAACCCTGGAGTTATAGTCCCCTTAAGTAGACAGAATATGGCTTTGGGTATGGCATAATAAGATCCCCATATACCCCATATTCCATCTACTTAAGAGGGATTACACTGATGGGCTAGGGAAGCCACGTATAAAGCCTCGCAGTAGGTTGTACTGGGCTGAGTAGGGAAGTATAGTTTTCAAGCCTTCCTCCGAATCTGTTTGCTAGGGATCTTTTGATCTTCTAGATTGAACCTAAACTCCTGGGCCCCAAACCCTGAATCGTGCCAACTGAACTGAATGGTTGTTCTTGCATGGGGGGCGTGGTGTCGCTGTTCTTCACTGCGGGCGCTATTACTACTGTACTACTTGTACCTGTGCTACCATGTGCTGTTGGAGTTACGGAGCCACATAGGAAAGGGTCCGAATTTTGCCAGAAGAAGATCCTATGATGAAGGCGCTCATCATCTTCATGTCGCATTTACATCCTGCTGCTTCGGGCAACTAAGTGTTCGAGAAGGGAACTCAGTTTGCCAGGCAACCCTTTCGTGTGAATAATGGCTCATTTGCAGGGTATCCCCATAATTCGAAAAGTGCCTGATAAGGAGAACGATAAGAATCCTATAGATACTGGCAGAGCAAGAAGCACGACTAGCTCTCCTGGTAAAGTTCCTGCTCCACCAGTAAGCCCGCTCATCATGCCCGTCTGCACCCTGAATCTGAATCCCAAACCCCATGCATCTACAACTGTATGTGTTTCAATGCTGCGAACGCAAAGTTTCCGTTCTGGACGATAAAGCAGGCTTTCAGCTAAAAAATGTAGCAGGCCCTGCAAGAAAGTTTTATGTGATGTTGGCTGGGCGTTGACGCAGCAGCTGTTCATATGCCAGACAGCTGGTGGCTTATTACCTGTAATACTTGTACTTGAACTACACGTCAGTCGCGGCCTCGCCATCAACAGACCAATTGGGCAAGTGTTTTTTGCCCACATTTGGTCCGGGGGGAGATTAGTCGTCATGTTGGATAAGGCAAATCAGCATGCCGGAAATTGTAGGTTACCGATACTAATGTCACGGATGGAAAAGGAGACCCCTGCAACTTGAACATGGCATGGCTTCGGCCTTGCAAGCTTTTGTCATATCTAGCCGGCTCCTGCATGCCCTCATTGTTCGACGAAGTCATAGATGATGTCAAGGTTACCTGCATATGGGTGAGCCAACACAAAAACTTTAAGCGTAAAACGAATTGGTTCGCGGAAAGCCCCAAAGTGGACTTTGATTGGTCAAATGCCTTGTTCACAACGGTTTCCAGAACGAGGGAGGAGCCACAAGCTGCCTCTCGCTCCGTCGTGACAGACTCTGTCGCCATTGATGGTTGTGCGCGTTTGTGTTCACAATGGTGTGGCTTTTCCTTCCTATTGACATGTCGCGCGCAATTGGCAAAGACTAGGCAGCACGCGGTTGGAGTGCCTTACGTTCCGAGGGTTCTGCAAGCATTGAAATTATTAAAACATTTTCAGATGGCTGACTTTTTGGGGTTAGGGTGTAAGACTGTAGGAGTTACCCCAGTGCTCCTACGCAGTTGTTTTGCATTGGCTTTGTTTTTTTTGGTGAGGGGTTATAGGCAGCCCCTATCCAAAGCGGAACTACGTCGAGGCTCTGTGTGGGGTTTAGGGCAAGTTGTAAGGAGGGTTAGTGTGTGTGTTTGTGTGTTTGTGTGTGTGTGTGTTTGTGTGTTGGGTGTCAGAAGGTCATTTCGTTTAGTAGAGTGTCAGGTTTTAGGTGTTACTGGTACTGTGGTTGGGATTCTCGGCATTAAGGTGCCGGCTTTCGAACCTGAATTGTCTGTTATGTGGGAGACCTGTGCCGCATGAAACGGCGCAAGACATGCTTCGAACATATCGTTGTATGATCAACTCCTTTCGGGGCACCTGAAGTGCACGCAGCATGCACCTTTTATGAACAGCACTTCCTCCTTTCGGGGCACCTGAAGTGCACGCAGCATGCACCTCTTTTCTGAACAGCACTTCACTAGCCATAGGCGTCCCCGAAAAAAATGCGAAAGCCATGACGGAAACCTCAGGGGAAAGGCAGGGACATCCATGTGACGATGGGCTGACTTTGGGCTTTCTGGGATGTAGTGTGAAGTTTTCGTCAGGTTTGGGGCTTGGGCCATCAGACTTGTGAAGCCGCATAAGCTTCATCATCACAGTAGACCTGGCGCAATGCTTCGTGAATCTCCGTGAACTGACGTTTCCGAAATTGTGCCCTGAAGAATTTTGTAAAAGACTGAATAACCACACATGCTATTTCTTCATTACTGCTAGATCCACATGCTCATTGAGCAGACCTGTACACCATGAGTTGTACCGGCTTACCTTTAAGCATGTCTCCTACATGGATCAAAGAAAATCTGCTCGGCCTGCAAGTGCGTGGCTTTGCCATCAACAAAACGTTAAACCCGAAATCCTAGACCGTGTGACTGAGGATGCAGCTGAAAGACCTGTTCAAGGCGTGCGACGGCACCTTCCCTAAACTTTGCTTTGTGGTATCGTGGGGATACCACTGGGTTCAAGAGGGTGTTTATGGTGGGTTCGAGTAAAGTTATAATGATTTTCATGAGAGGATGAAGTACATTGCATAACTCGGGTCCCTCAAACTGATCCCCAAGTACCAAGCCGTCGGCTTGGGAAGCCAAGTTGAGAGCTTGCTTCTGATGGTCGTGCACATACTAAGCATCATGCATGACCTCAGTTACCTTATACCTTGCGAATTGTGGTAGGGTTGTAGGAAAAGTACCTGCCATTTTTTTTAGTATCAACAATACTTAGGCAAGCCTGGGCAGCCTTTATCTTCCGGAATAGGGTCTCCCTCATGGATACTGGAAGTCAAAGAGCCCAACTCTTCACGACTGCATCAGCATGACCGAGACATGGTAGTGTCCATGAACAGGGGACTTCAATGTAGACCCCTAAGCTCCGTGCCCTGAAGATACAGAGCTGAACTTGTACTAACAACAATAAGTCAGAGTTTAGGGTTTAGGGTTTGGGATACAGAGCTGAACATTTACTAACAGCAGAAAGTCTACCATCATCGTGCCTACTATGCCCTACACGTCCTTCACGTTTCCACGTCGAGCATGAACGTACGCCTATATGAGCTAGAATCCAAATGCCTTAAAGGGGCTTAAAGGGGCCATA